ACACTCACACACAGAGTGACGCGCACACACACACACACACACACACTCGCACGCACGCACACACACACACACCCACACACTCCCTCGCTCACTCACTCTCTCACTCACACACATCACACACTCACATCACACTCACACACACACTCTCTCTCACACACACACACCACACACACATCACACACACACACACACACTCACTCACTCACACACATCACACACTCACTCACTCACTCACACATCACACACACACACACACACACACTCACTCACACACACACACACACACATCACACACACACTCACTCACTCACACACACACACACACACATCACACACACTCACACACACACACTCTCTCTCACACACACACACACACATCACACACACACTCACTCACTCACACACATCACACACTCACTCACTCACTCACACATCACACACACACACACACACTCACTCACACACACACTCACACACTCACACACACACACTCTCTCTCACACACACACATCACACACACACACACATCACACACACACACACACATATATAGTCTTATTTTAATTTAATTTAGATACTATTTCTATTAGTAATATTAATTTCTATTAATATTTTGAACATGTTTCCCATTTTTATTATAAAGATTTAGTAATTAAATCCTTTACTAATTAAAATTTTGTATTTTTTTTTCAAAGTCTACATTGTTTTTATTCATTTTTATTTCAGTTTTAGTTATTTTAGTAGTTCAAGTTACAGTCAATTAAAATGGGAAATGTTGTCTTAGCAACTAGTTCAAATAAGTTTTATTTTTTATATGATTGTATCCCAGTTCATGTTTATTTTATTTCCAGTTATGTTTCCAGTAAAATTACCTATACTTTACACAAAAATATTTTTTTGTGTATTTATATATATATATATGTGTGTGTGTGTGTGTGTATCTACAGTGGGTACGGAAAGTATTCAGACCCCCTTAAATTTTTCACTCTTTGTTATATTGCAGCCATTTGCTAAAATCATTTAAGTTCATTTTTTTCCTCATTAATGTACACACAGCACCCCATATTGACAGAAAAACACAGAATTGTTGACAATATATATGCATTGTTTTTGTAATTATTGAATGTATTTTTTTTTTAGTCTGTGCTTGCATATTTGGAGACATATTATTGTAAGATTTCAGCTTTAAAACTCCATCGACTCACCGAGCATTTGTTGGGTTTCTCCCCGGAGTGGACCCTCATGTGGATGAGGAGCTTGTAGCGTGCGTTGAAAGGCTTGTGTTTGCGTGGACATTCGGCCCAGAAGCAGGTGAAGTCCTCGCCCTTGCGCTGGTCGACGTGGATCTTCTCGATGTGCTTGACCAGCTCCTCTCGCTGGCCGTAAACAGCGCCGCAGTCCAGCCAACGGCAGCAGTGTCCTCCGCTGACGTCCTCCTCCTCGTCCTCCTCCAGCATCGGGCAGAGAGTCGACGGAAGGACCCTGAGGTTGTCTGAAGACGCCGCTGGGATCTGAATGTGGGCGTTATAGGGCGGTGGAGGGCCTCGAGGAGGGCTGGGCATTTGAAGGTGTATTGAAGGCGACAGGCTGTTTTTTGTCGCCGTTTGCATCTCCTGTCCAGGTAGAAGTTGGTGCTCCACTACTAGATTGGTGAATTGGTCTTCTAGCGGCTGGACAATTGGGGTCTGAATTGACTTGTCTTTGGTGATGTGTTTGCCGGGGTTGGGATGAGGGATGCAGCTGCCTCTGATGCCCAGCAGGTGTCCGCAAACATCGGCCTGCAGAGGTGAAGGAGTGGGGCGCGAGGCCGGAGACGTGCGGGAACCGATGATGTACGCCACCAACGACGTGGGCGAGGTTCTGATGATGGAGTTGAGGTCGAGGCCGATGCCGTCCGAGAGCGGAGACAAGGACAGCGCTCGCTTTTTGCAGCGGCTGGTGTCCTCCATGAAGAGATAATGCGGTAGAGACGTGGGGTTGGAGACGGATTCGGACATGGAGGTCCCGGGAATGAGATGCGGATCGGCAGCTTCTGAAGTCTGGTTAAACCCTAGCCCTAAAGGAGGCAGAACGCGGTAACCGTAGGGCCAGTCCAGCTTACCGCTGCGAATCGACTGCGTCTCTGCGAGGCTGAGGGTGGTCGAGGCCAAAGACTCTCTGGACAGCAAACACCTGCAATAGATGACCCAAAAATGAATTGCAAAACGTCCAAGTATCGTCAAGTTATGTTTGTCACAGGCTTTGGTTTACTTGTGAGAATCTGGAGGGAGCCCATGGCGAATTAGTGTTTTGATGTCAGGACTGAAAACCTACAGGTTTTCTGTCTACTTTGAGAATATCCCGGTCACCCTTTTCCATTCCTTTAAATAGGACTGGGGCCGTCAAGCTCCAAAATCAAGATACATTATGGATCATAATAGTAGTCCCAAGTCTATAATAATAATAATAAACTTTATTTTATAAAGCGCCTTTAAAAGTAAACATCATAATTTTGAAATCCACTCTAAACCTGACCGGGAGCCAGTGCAAAGATTCTAACACTGGAGTAATATGACTGCCAATCCTAGTCCCAGTTAAAATCCTAGCGGCTGAATTTTGTACATATTGCAACTTATTAAGTGTAGATTTAGAAGCTCCGGCTAAAAGAGCATTACAATAGTCTAACTGTGAGACAACAAAGGAATTTATCAGCATTTCCATGACTGTAAAATTTAACATAAGAGTCGGGGACAGACAACCAGCTTTAGAAATTTGATAACGGGAACCAATGAGCATAACTTCAGTTTTACCACCGTTAAAAAAACAAGAAGTTATTATCCATCCACATTTTAATCTCAGTAATACAGTCAGACAAATAAGCAACGTCAAGGCACTCATGAGGTTTTGAATGTATATAAATCTGCATATCGTCGGCATACAAATGATAATGAGGGCTGAGCAATCTCAAAAGGTGGCCTAAAGGTGACAAATAAATGTTAAAAAGTAAAGGACCTAAAACCGAACCCTGAGGGACACCAGTTGAGACAGAGCTAATCTCGGACCTATAACCACCCATAGAAACAAACTGGGAGCGGTCAGTGAAATAAGACTTCAACCACCTTAAGGCAGTCCCAGACACACCAAAAACTCTTTCAAGACGAGTAAGTAATAGACCAATAAATCATTAGTGACTTTGACCAAGGCCGTCTCAGTACTGTGAAATTTACGAAAACCCGACTGAAGAGGTTCAAAAAGATTGTTGACTGTGAGATGATCACACAAATGTCTTCAAGTCATTTAAGCGTTATTCACTGAAAAATCATCCACTTTAGCTCCCAAATTGGTGCCATTACATATGCTGTTAATGGTGTCTGTTAACCCAGACAACAAATTTAGGTTATAAAAGCATTGTGGGAACATTGTTTTGAAATGTTTGTAAAACGTTAAAATGTCCAGGTTTTTTGTAGTGATTATAAAGTCACTTAATGGTTACGAAAACACTTCTTACAGCATTCTACAAACTTTAGTCTTACCCAAAATATGTTATTTGAACGCTTATTTTTAATATTGTCGAACGTTAAAATGTCCACAAAAAAACGTTTCTTAGAATGTTCAAGTACGAATAACATCATAAGCGATGTTGATCTCAGAACGTTTTCTCTCAACATTATGAGAACATATATCAAATATTAAAAAAAGAACATTCCATATACATTACTTTAAGAATGTTTTGTCCTAATATAAACTTTTAAAGTTGTGAGAACGTTCCCTGCTAGCTGGGAAGAGACGACCGATGTTATTTGCATCAGTGTTTTTCTACATGTCATTTCTTCTCTACATAACTTTTGTAGTCCATTCAGATCTTCACCAGAGGACCAACATGAGGGTGAGTAAATAATGACCAAGTATGAATATTGAGAAGCATGAATGAAATTTGAGAGCTTTTGGTAGAAGGAAAGGTTTTCAGTGGATAATGACAATATCAATCTGTTTGGACTTGAAATATAGTGCAAACGGACTTCTTATATGGTACTTTTTGGAGTTTGACAGCCTGTGGCCAATGCATGCTTTTGTTGTACTGTGCGCAAAGATACATAAAAACATATTCTTTTGTATGTTATGGAATAAAGAAACTTTGATGAATGGGTGAACCTTTCCCTTTTCACTCTTAAAAATAAAGGTTCTTCACTATGCTTCCATAAAGAACCTTTAACATTCAAGGAAACTTTCCATTCCACAAAAGGTTCTTTATAGTAGAAAAAGGTTCTTTAGATTATTCAAATGTAAGAAAAAAAACAGTTTTTTTAAAGAACTGATCACTGAAAGTTTCTTTAAGAAACACAAAAAATGGCATCACTGCGAAAAACCCCATTTGGACCTTTATTTCTGAGTGTGTGAGGATGTTTACCTGGCATCAGCGAAGGGAACAGCGAGGGAATGAGGTGGGCCGTTTTGGGCTGAAGACTGTGGAGAAACCGGACACAGACTCTGGACCAGCATGGCGTTGCTCATCACCTGCAGGTTTGAACCGCCACACGGCCCAAAAACTCTTCTGTTCGTCCCCAAAGACAAATAACCTGAGAAAGAGTCACGTTTCATCTGACATTTATGACCCGTGATTGAATAATAATAATTGACTTCGACCACATTATATAACATCTCCTGTAAGAGCTGCACAAAATCAAATTTTTAAGTTTGTGAAAAGAATGAAAAGCCTTGAACTCCTGCTGTAATGCTAAAGTTCAGACTGTCAGAAATTCTAGCCATTAAAGAGCAGGAAAAACTGGCACTAAAAGACTCTAAACCAGTCTCCAGCAGAGAACTAATAATCAAGCTCTGCGTTTCCAGTAGAGCAGAGACTGTTCTGCCTTGGAGACATACTTATTTTCCTTCCTTGTACAGCATAACAGGACTATGATTGGTCTGTTCAGACGCATATCCTGATTACTCAGTACTGCTTACCCTGCCTTTATTGTTTTTCATAGTGTTGATAACTTCACTAGAACTTCTTGTGTTTGCAAATGACACATTAAGATTGCACTAAGAATTCTGATATTTTAAGATCATTTGCAAGGTGCAACGATTAAAGGCTCAGTAATAATGACAGGCTTTGCATATTTTTACAGACTATTAAATATCAAGTTGAATATCGTTGTTGCAAAGTGTGCCGATTAAGCAAGCTTTACTTCCTATACTGCATGCATGGACTAACTCGCTGGGACAGAAGCTTTACAGTATATGCATGCATGGTATTGCTTAGAAACACAAACATATATTTGTAATGCATAAAAAGCTGGTTAATATATAGTTGAGGTTTTGGTAAAATGGCAATAATGACTTAATCTCAGAAGCATCAATAATACTGGGTTATAAATCACAAATCAATCAGTAATTTCCAGTTATGTGTCCCTGCAGCACAAAAGCAGTGTTAAGTCGCTGGGGGATATTTGTAGCAATAGCCAACAATACATTGTATGGGTCACAATTATACATTTCTCTTTTATGCCAAAAATCATTAGGATATTAAGTAAAGATCATGTTCTTTGAAGATATTTAGTCAATTTCCGACTGTAAATATATCAAAACTTAATGTTTGATTAGTAATATGCATTGCTAAGAACTTAATTTGGACAACTTTAAAGATGATTTTCTCAATATTTAGATTTTTTTGCACCCTCAGATTCCAGATTTTCAGATATTGTCCGATCCTAACAAACCATACATCAATGGAAAGCTTATTCAGATGATGTATAAATCTCAATTTCAAAAAATTGACACTTGTGGCTGGTTTTGTGCTCCAGGGTCACATATTATCTAATTACTGTATATTATTTAGTAAGTTTCTGTAAAGCAAACTTAACATTTAATGAAAACTAAGCATTTTTGGGTGGACTACCGGAGCTTTTGTCCTCTAACGTGAATTTTTCGGCCTCTATCAAACAGAAACACATGAATAGTCATGGAATTCCTCTAACAAACCCGTAAAGCCAAGGAAGCGTTTCTGCTCTGTTAAGTACTAATGAGTTTTTCCCTCTGCTTTGGCTCCATGGCTCGTTTGGGTACAAGCTTTCTGCTTGGTTAATCATCAAAAATATGAGAGCTGTGGTTTGGGGACAAGACATGGCCGGAGCTGCTGGACGCTACTGAAGTATAAACCAGTATGTAAATCAGTACAACGTGCTTTTGGGTCACGAGACACGAAAACAGAAGGCAGGGAACAAATTTCGGTTATTAAAAACGTTGTGGAAACATTGTTTTTAAGTGTTTCTAAAATGTTGATATGTCCAGTTTTCTTAGAACGTCATTTAAAGGTTACAAAAATGTTTCTTACAACGTTCTACTAATGTTTCCACCTAAAATATAACATTATTTCAATGCTTATATATAATATTCTAAGGACGTTAAAATGTCCAGTGTTCCTCGCATTATAATATTTTTTAAAGGTTACAAAAACGTTTCTTACAACGTAACCTTTTCACTCTTATTTGAACGTTATTTTAATATTCTAAGAGCGTTAGAATGTCTAGTTTTCTTGTCATCGTGATTAGAATGTAACCTTTAAGTAACATTCTATTAACTTTTTAACCCAAAACATAATGTTATTTGAATGTTTTAATATTTTGAGAATGATAAAAACGTCCAGTTTTCATGTCGTGATTCAGAACGCTATTTAAGGCTTACAACAATATTTCTTAGAATGTTCATAAAGTTCAAATTCTAAGAATGTTTTCTCAACGTTATGAGAACGTTCAAGGACAAATATCATCGCAACGATGTTCCGAGAACGTTGACGAACAGCAGAATGCTTTCTCTCATCTTCACATGAGAATGTATATCAGATGTTAATAGTTATAAGAACTTTACACATTCCTTAAGAATGCTCTGTCCTAATATTTACATACTTTTAAAAATCAAACATCATGAGAATGTTCCCTGTTAGCTGGGTTTATGATTATGACACTATCAACATTGAACTAATACAACAAACACTATTGTCTTGTACAGAGCTGCTTCACAGTTTTGTTTCATCATTTTTACAACACGAACGCCGTTACTTTCCTGTTTATTACAGTGAAGCTGCTTTGAAACAATCTGCATGAAGTGTCACATTGTATAAGCACCATTGGAAAATGCATTTTTATCAATTAACTGGATGGTGATAGTTGAAAAACAGGAGACGTCGGCTGAAGGAAAGTCGCACTAAAGGACATCATGGGTCTGATTTAGATTGCATGCTGACTTTGTAAAACTGTATTACACATGTAGGACTGATTAAGTGCATTTGTGATGAGAATGCAATGCACATCTTCACTTTGTTCTGACAGTCCGAGATGAAATGAAGGCTGGAAGTGCTGTTTAAATGGCCGGGGGGGTGTTCAATTGTCCCTTATCCAATTCAAAGCATCACGTCTGGTGTTCTGGCTCACTGAGCTGAGCATTATGGGTAGAGTGGAGCTCAGGCATGAAGATATGGCTTATTTATTTATTGAACTCCGGCTGGTCTTTCAAGCCACTAATTCTGTGCATTTAAATCTGAGATGTTTATTCTTGTTTACCTTTCGTACCATAGTCCGGGCAGCTGGGTCGAGCTGACTGTTTGGAAGAGGATGCTGGGAGTGAAAGGGGCGGGGCTTGATGTTGCCAGGAGTGTGGAAAGCCCAGCTTCCCATTGGCCAGCACCTGTCGGCGGAGACTCAGGGCCGGGTTTCCTGATGTGGCGTCGGGATGGAGCGATGGAGACCAGGAGTGACCCGTCTGGACCCTCAGGTGAGGAACCTGAGCCGTACCGGACGGAGAAACCATCAGGTTGCAGCCCTTCCCGTTCATGTCCGTCACTGGTCGACACAGAGCATCATCTACAGCGTTCGGATTTATATGTGCGCCGAGGTTTCAGTTACCTGATGAATATGGAAAATGTTTTGAAATTAAAATTGGCAAATGTTTTGTCTGGTTACCTGAAAATGTGGCCTACATCTACCTGTAAATGATCCACTTTTTTTTGCGTTTTCAGTCAAGACATTCTGAACGTGAACTGTAATGCAGTGCAACTTTACCACAGATGCTGAAAATGTTTCTAAAAGTGCTATCACCTGATAGCATCACTCTACTTGTTTTTAGGGGGGACATGTGAACTACAGCAATAAAGTTGGGCTCCTGAGGTACTCGTTGATATTTTTAATGTTAGATATACTTTATTTGTCCCACAGTTAACATTAAGTCGTCGTAATGCCCACCGAGCAGTTTAAAAAATAATAGTAAAAATTAGATTTTCAGAATAATATTTGTAAATGTTATTTTTAATGTAAATGGTGAGACAAGCAGTACTATATTTGATGATTTCGTCGTGATTCGGTTTGCAGTATACATGCTACTAAATTATTTTTACGCTTACATGATTGATTTTATTATTTCTAATAATGTAAAATAAACACATGATAAACTGGAAACACCTGTTCGCCCGTGAAACACATTAAATGAATCAAAGTCTCTCTTCACACGCGCATAAATGAAGAGTTCATCGATCTCGTTTCATGTTTCCGACTACTGTCGGTAAAGTTACTCACCTGTTAAAGTCCGCTCGTGCCACCTTCTCGAGATCAAGCGCTCCAGACAAACTTCTGCCTCTCATCGCGCGTGAGTTTGCGCAGCGTTTGTCGAGTTTAAAGCGTGTTTGCGTTCATGCTGAGTGCGCGTGAGCTGCTGCTGCTGCTGCTGCTGTTGTGTGTGGGTTTGTGATGGTTGTCAGGGGCGGGTAGATCAGCCTCATTTTGCCCTTTTGCCCCGCGAAACCTCCAGCATGTGAATGTTTGGCAGCATGGCACGCTTATTAAACACCATATTTGGATTCATTTGAGATCCACATATGCTTTTTAATATAACTAATCATTAAACCGGTGTTATTGTAACTTGTTTCATAACTTTTGGGAATATTTGCATTGTGGAGTTTAATATGCATGCAATGCAGTATACATGCACTGAAAAAATAGGTGATTGTTACAAATAATGACAAAGACTTTAAACAGGAAATATTAAAATAGAAGCTAAGCCAACATATTAATAAATAATAGTATATAAACACTGCAAAAAATGATGTAACTTTCACTCAGAAATTGCTAGAAACTTGCATAATTACTTGTAAAGAAGCGGCAAGTAACACACTGAATTAAATAAAAAATATATAGAAATAAAAATAGAAATATAAAAAAATGACAAGAGCACAAAATAACTAACACTTAAGCTAAAATTAACACGAAAACAGAAATGATCAAAATAAAAGCTCAAATAAAACAAAACAAAATTACTAAAAAGGCAACTAAAATTAAGATGAAAACAAAAATATCAATGCTATAATAGTATATAAACACAAAAAGGGAGTAGGGTTTACTTTGAAACAACTTCCACTCAGAAATTGTTACAAATAATGACAAAGACTTTAAACAGGAAATATATAAATAGAAGCTAAGACAACATATTAATAAATAATAGAATATAAACACTGCAAAAACTTTTACTTTGAAACAACTTTAACTCTGAAATTACTGGTAAATTTCACAAATAGTTACAAAGAAACAGCAAGTAACACAAATATTAAAAACCAAAAACTAATAAAATGACAAAAAAGTAGCACTGAATTTAATCAAAAGTTGACATAAAAATAAAACCGCTTGTAAAAATGACAAGAGCATAACAATGACTAAAACTTAAACTAAAATGAAAACAGAAAATATGAAAATAAAAGCTGTCAGGATATGAATAAATGCTATAATAGTATATAAACACTAAAAAATGGTGCGGGGTTTACTTTGAAAGAATTTTCAGTAAGAAGTTGCTAGTAAATTTCACAGATTATTACAAAGAAACAGCAAGTAACACAAATATTAAAAAACAAAAACGAATAAAATGACAAAAACTCGAACATGAAGACTAAAAGCTATAGTCAGAATCTTAATAAATAGTGTAGCAGAACATAAACACCTAAAACGTGAACTTGCTCTGAAACCGTTTTGACTCATTGCTATTCGATTTCATAAATAATAGAAGAATCAACACGTAACGCTTTGAGTTGAGCATAACATTTAGAAGTAGAAAGACTGAAATACTTTTTTTTTTTAATGTAAAACATACTCTAATAACCTGTGTTTTATTGACAAACAGTGTAATGTGAATATAGTCTGAATGTATGACTGATTTGAACGATATCAGTTTAGTTTTGTAAGTCTGCTGGCTTGAACCTGCTCATTTGTTGAAATGCTTCAAACTATTTATTGTAATAAAAAAGCACATCAAAAGGAAGTAGGAGTTCATGCACAAAAAATGATACAGTGGCACCCAGAGCCTTCCATATTCAGAATAATAGTTGTGTTTTCTGAAGCTTTTATTTTTGGTTAGATCTAGATGCTGTACCTGAGTTTCAGTCCAGACTTGAGGGTTTGAGCAGTGAGTCCCGGTCATGGCAACAGGGTTGTTTATGAGAACATGCTGATAGAAGCCCTGCATTATTTCAGGATTCATCTGAGATGCTTGTGCATTAAATGCTGGCCTCTAGTGGAGATTGCAGGGCAGAAATGGCATGGCAGTCACTGTGCTGCATCTGTTTACAGTGAGTCAGCTTCTGCTGTATTGATTCACTGCATGCATTGTGTTAGAATCAGGGGCGCTTGTAGTTTGCTCTGTAATTATCTGTTGGCACTAATGCAGTGCTGATACGGGAAGGGCAAACAGGCTTTAGGTGCTGCTAGACTAAAGACATTTTGAAAGATTTAATTATTTCAGGGCCATTCCCCCAATATTCAGAACTGCGGTTGACCAATATGAGCCTATTGTTAACTAAAACTATTACAACTAATGCTGTCATTCATTGAAATAAAAACGGAAAAATAAAATATAAATATGATATAAAATTAGAAAAAATTCATAGTTGCCATGGTAACTAACTGAAATAAAATAAGTTCTAAAATCACTGAAACTGTAATAAAATTAGAATTAAAAATAGACGATTAAATATAAGAATATTAAAAGCATAAACTAACAGAAAATATACAAATAAAAACAAAAGCTTAGTCAAAATACTAATAAATATTATAATAGTGTGTAAATAATTTAGGCTTAGACTGATATCTATAGCGTTGCTGTTTATTAGATTTATTTTAGTTAGCTGAATTATAATATAAATTATATGAAAAACTTAAACTTGAAGTACTGAAATGACTAAACGTAAATCTGAAGTAATATAGAAATCTATTAAAAAACAAAAATGAATAAAAATGACAAAAGCACAGAATAAAAGTACAAAACCTTACATTAAAATTTAATTGGAAACAAACTATAAAAATGGAAACTAGTTCAAAATATTAATAAATACTATAATAATATATAGGCTAAACGATGCTAAAATAACCCTGGCCTATACCAATATCTTCAGTGTTTACTAAAATGATTAAAACTAATGTTTTTGTTAATTGAAGTAAAGCTGAAAGCTAAAATAAAATATAAAAAAACTATTTTACTACTAAATTACTACAATTAATACTGAAATAAAATAGAAATATTAAAAACTTAAACTAATAAAAACAACAAAAGCACAAAACAAAATTACTCAAATTTAAACTAAAATGATCATGAACACAGGAAAGATAAAAGCAAAAGTTATTTCAAAATATTAATAAATTCTATAAATAATACTAAAATAACTCTGGCCTGGATGATATCAGTCTGAAAGCATTGCATTATTAAGTCATTATAATGATGGCGAAGTTATGCAATGTTTAGTAATATTTTATTAAATATTTAAAAAAATTCTGATGAAATATTAGCCTGTTTATTTATAGGTATTCCTAAAATGTGTACTGACATCTGAAAGCATTGGATCTGATGGAAATGCATTTGCTCACGTGTGTTGTTGGTGTTTGTGTCTCCAGCAGAGGGCAGTGGAAGAACACACACTGTCTCAAACAGGTCCTGTAGGTGAAACTGCAGTGTGATGATTACTTCATTCTGGCCAGAGAAACAGCAGGGTGCTGTTATTGTTCGACTGTATCTGTCAGAATCAATTTCCATACTTATAATGTTCATCTCTCCGCTTAGAAAAGTCCAATCAGCTTGTCAATCTGTGAGAGAGATGTTTGTTAGCACTGGTATTGAACTGTACACGTTATGATTACTGCCAATTGATTGATTCATTCGTTCAAATGATTCATTCAAAACGGCTGATTCATTCAGGAGTGAAGCAAGTCTTTATGAATGAGTCATTGAATCATTGACTCGACCGATTCTTTAAAACACGCTGAATCATTCAAAAACTAAGCAATTATTTTGGAGCAAAAATACTCAATATTGACAATATCCTTTATATATGTTCTGAGAAGGTTTTGCCAACGTTCCCATTAAGCTATGAAAACATTATATAAGAGAACATTCCATTTAATCATTTTGCAAGCATCACGGGAATGTTACTTTTGAATGTTCTTTGAACATTCTGAAACAAGAAGTAACATTTAAAAAATGTTTCAAATAAAATGAACGATGTATAAATAATGTTTTTGTGCTCATGTTTTGAGAACGTTATTAAAGACCAGATGACACTGAACAAACGTTCTATTAATATTACTTTGTTCATAACTTCGAGAGAACCTTGCCAGAACATTCTGAGAATGTTTCTTGTTAGCTGAGATTGTGTCTAAAATTCATGTCACTTAATATCAGCTATCTGTTTATTTACTCGTTATATAGGAGGACAAACGAGTGTCGGTAAATGGACACGGTATTTAAAAACCTGAAAGTGTTCATGAAAGCTGAAGATGCAAATGTTCATGAAAAGGTCTAAAGGTCTCTTCAGTTCCTGTGTGAATATAAAGCTGCATTTCTCCAGACTCTGAGGAGAAGCTCTCCTGTGATGAATGGAGAGCGCGGCACCCATCTGAAAGGCTCTGAGAGCTCATTTCTGCTGGATAATGTCACGCAGCGTGTGAATGTCACCAGGCTCAGACCGCTGCATGTTCACCTCATCAGAGAGACAAAGCGCTTCACTCCCACAAACTCGTGTTGTTCTCAGACGCTTTCAGCCAGATGCGTTCCTTCGAATAGCTGGAGGTGAACAGACACATGAGAGGACACATAAAGACGTGGAAGTCTCTCCATGCACTGTGCTCCAGCAGTAGAGACACAGCGATAAACTCCACCGTCTCATTTGAGATGCTGTTTTAATTGCAGAAACGCTCAGGGCTTCGGCCCGAGGCAGACGAACATTCCCTCCTGTGATGCTGAGAGCTGTAAAGAGCGCTGAACGGACCGGCGTGAACCTTTTATCTCTCAGACTCTCTAGAAACTCGAGGATACCAGAGCGGTTAACGAGATTGAACAATTAACCCTTCTAGGCGTTTGGTGTCTGAGCTTGACATGAGACTTTGTGGCTTCCTGCACTTGCTATACTTCAGTACAGTAAAAGTACTAAAATGTATTATAATAGTCATTTTTATAATGAATCAAAAAGCAAGATGTGAAAAAAAAACTTGTGAGTGTAAATGGCAACTGAGCTTATGAGTGATCCTCTGCTGCCATCTACTGGTTATGATGGTGCTTTCATATCATTTTCATCTCAAAAGTCTTTCTTTTCCACCAGGAGGCACATTTATGGCACATTTATCATCTTCATGAATGAAAAGTGAATCTTACTGCGCAGCTGTAGAGTTAAAAAATAATAGAGGCTTTAAAAGATTCTAAGTGTTTAAAA